CGTGGTAACAACGCAACTGCTCAAGCCTTGCATGTGCGATGGTCTCGTTTTCGGCTCCGATGGTAACAAACTCGAACAGCTCGCCCCAACTGACATGCGATGCGCAACTTACACCCTTCAGTCGCCTCGCAGGTTGGTTTTGGCACTGCGCATATTGACTGCTGGGTGTTTTTGTTGCCCCACAATTACCCCCCCGTATTGAAAGCAGATTGACAGGACTCCCGAAATCGGGAGTCACCAGGAAGGCTTCCAGCTAATTGCTGGAAGCCACATTTCTTCGTGCGATGAACTCTATGTCTTGAGCTTAAAAGCAGCTTTATAACCTGAAAAAACAGATATTCTCAAGTGACGTTACGACTAACCGATGTTCTCTGTTTGAACACAATGTTGGTATCGTAAACAAGCCCTTGAAGAGTAGATCCCAGAAAATATATTCAGATTGCTGAACTGGTTGAGGTAAGCTGGACATTTGTTGAGGTAAGGTTCTCCTAAGGAGCCATAGCGGAGAGCTTGGAGAAAGTTCGCGGAATGAAGTGTGCCTGGTTGGAAATCATGACGGCTGTGTTCGCCAGCACACGGAAATTCGAAATGAAAACGATGGCATCGACATCGCGACCGCATCAGGAAACGGAGGCGGAACCCACCTCCGAGGTTTGGGCGTAATGCCACTCGAGAAACTTCTGATCCCGAAACGGGAAATTACGCAACCGCATCGGGAACCTCCATCCCCACCTTCCCCCCAATGGCGCGAACTTTTAGCTTCACTGACCTCAGCGTGCCCGCGGGCCAAAAAGTGCTCGCGTTGGGTAAAAAACGCAAATAAAAAATAACTCTACTCAAATACAACCCCCGCCACCTCGTGCACAGGCCCAGTCACAATTCAGACTCATCTGTCCGGGAGGGGAAAAATGGGGGGTATACGAACCCCCATTTGTCAAACAAATGGCTCGTTGAGGTTCCTCTCTGAACGGCAATGCAACGGCTGTGTCATCGATGTCCTTTGAAAAACGGGGGATGGCGATGGCATAGCTTGGGGAGGGAATTTTGCCTGGGGACGAAGTTGCGTCCCCGCTTCCATATGCCGTCGAGCAGTTTGATTTGATCGACAAATGGGGGCGTTCGCCAGACCCCCACTTTGGTTTTTGGTTTGGACGGTAGGGGAGGCTCGGGCAGCTTTTTTACGGGCTGACCAGGCTGACGGAGGTAAATGAACCCTAACTGACGGGATCAGGAAGGCGAGACCCACCTTCCTGATCGGTCTTTATCCCGTGGGTTTTGGCTTCAAAGGTGCTGGCGAACAGCACCGTCTTGTTTATATATAGAAACGTCAAGCATCTCTCTGGGCCGCATTTGTATAGGCATTTTTTTGCACCACCTTGGTCAACAGAGAACAAAACGTTGTTCATTCAACCCCGCCTTCCTGTCCTTTTGGTGTTTCAGTAGCCATCCCTGCACAGAATGCATCATGTGCTGCCAAATCGCCAGCACACAACCAGCCAGCCACAGTCCACCAATCCACAGCAGTTCTCCCTGCATCGCCCAAACCTCCGTCCGTCTCTTCAAGTCAAATTCCCGCGCCGCGTTTCGGGGCGCGGATTCCTTTACCCAACCAGGCGCAACAAAACTCTCCCACGGTTTCCCCCTCCCTCCCCGCCGCCTTTACCTCGCCCTTTTTTTCTGCCCTGCCAGCCCATCAAAACATCCCCCTTCCTGGTTGTGCATCCCCCAAGGCGAACTTCGTTTCCGCTCCCCCATTGCATTGCATCCCTCCTCCCGTCCGCGTGTATTCCCCCTTCGCGCCCACCGCTTTGCAAATATCCAACCACGTCTCGCTGTTTATGGACCGTCAGAAAACGGATCCAATGGCCGGTCTTGTCGCGGCTTTCTAAGCGCAGGCCCTCTTGCTCCTCCCCCGAACGACCACACTGTATGTACATCGATCGTGCCGATCGAAGGTTCGTCCCTTCCTCTTCTCCTCCCGCCAATCTCCCCCGTCTCCCCCGCTACCCTGACCTTCCCTCCGAGAGAACCTAGGGCCTAGTTGCTGCCTGGTGCGTGATGTCTGGTTCGGTTTGAAACTGTGGTCCTCGTCGCCTCCTTGTCCTGACCTGATCCTCCTACTCCAGCCAGATTGCAATCGGTTCGGTAGCTAGCAGTCTTTTTTGGAAGGGCGCTACAAGAATGGGGACAGAACCCTTGTCTTGAACCCTAATAGCTTCGGAGCGGCGGCGTAGGCTCGTCAGATAAGCTTTAGGCCCGGCCGCAGTTCACCCTCAGGCTTGGAGTTGGCGTCGCGTGGGATTTTTTACTCTAGGCTGGGTTGGGAGAATGGCGCGAGTCAATATGGGCGGGCGGAAGTGGCGTGGAGTAAAACTGCCTCACGTGCGGTCGAGGTCAGTTGTTCACGCGCGGGCGTCCATGTTTCCGCCGAAGCGGCTGCGCGTGCGGCCGCGCCCGCCAGGCGACTGTGGCTCCGCGGCTCCTGCTGCGTGAGGCGGGCGCACAGAGGCTCGCGTGTGGTTCGTGTCCGCGCACGCGCCCGTCGCATTTTCGACGGTCCTGTATCTCGTTCCTCCTTAGTCCCTCCCTGTCCCCCCTCCTTCTGGCCTCCATGTCCTGGAGCATGTCCAGTGTTCTTTCATTCATCACAGCGGCAGCACAGGGAGCCCGCGAAGAGAGACAGGCGGAACGAGTTTCTCTGCTTGAGCCCCTGCCTTTCTTCCTTCTCTTCCTTCTCCTCACAGAGAGTCCTGATCGGAGACGTCCGGCATTTTTGTTATGATTCAAAAGAACCAACGGCCTCTGCGCTTGGAATCTCGTCTCTTGATACTTTCCTGAGGGACTTCAAAAATAGACTCGGAGAACGCGCGCCGGTCGTGCCGTTAATCCTTTCTGGGAAGGAAGAACGCGCTGCTGTTACAGCACCTAGATTTCCTGCCCGACCTTCTTTTAGTTGACGGGGGTAGTAGTAGAAAATTACGACCCGTACGATACAAAGGCGCTTCGGGACATCATGTCATATCAATGATTGGGACCAACGATTGTCAGACGATCGTGGCATACCGTAGCGCCAAGCGGTAATTGTCCGGCGGACCTTCAACCGTTTCCGTCTCGGTCAAAGTCTGGGCGGTTACTGGCCGAACGTGCTGGTAGGTAAAATCGCAGAGGTTTCGCGAATTGGCGGTTTTAGCCCGTGGAATTTATGGGTCCCACTTCGGCGGACGCCGGCTGCGGCGGAAACGGCGGAAGTGACGGCGGCGGTGTCGGCGGCCGTGGCTGCTACCACTATAGTAGTGCGCACGGTAGTAAGGACGCCGGCGCTGCCGGCGCGGCCGCAGCGAGCGCTTCCGGCGCCTCTGGCGGCACTGGCGGCACCAGCTCCGTCGATCACAGCTCGTACGGCTTTTCGGACGGCCTCTGCTCGATCGGCGGCGGCTGCGGGGTCGGCGGCGGCGGCGGCGGCGGCGGAGGAGGAGGAGAAGGAGGAGGAGGAGGAAAGAAACCCCGCGTGAACGACCCAGGGAAGCCGCCTCATTCACCGCCGCATTCGCCGCCGAGTGTCGCGCTGAACCTAATGGGCCCAACAGGCGGAGCCGGCGGTTACGGAGAGAGAGAGTCGTCACGGATTGAGTTCCGCGACGGCGCGATCGGCGGCGGGCTTCACGGTGAAAGCCGCGGCATGTTTGCCGCCGGGCTGCCTGGGGCCCAGCAAGGGGCGACGCGCGATTTCGCCAGCGCGCTTTGGGGAGCAACGGGTCCGACCGCGGCGCGTTACTCGAGCCGCGACGCGGAGTCGGAATCGACGGGAATCTCCGCGGAGGGAAACGCGGGGAGGAGGGGAGCGACGGCGGGCGCTGCGGCGAGAAACGGGAGTGGCAGTGGCGGAGGTTTGACGGTAACAGCAGCATCCGCGGAAGCGGCAGCGGCGTCGGCGGCGGCGGCGGGAGCTCGTATAGGCGGAAATGCTGCAGCCGGCGGAAAAAATCACCGTGGTTTAGTGCCACTAACGGGGTCGACCACTATAACGAGTGTGACTACAACGAGTATGCGCAAGGTGCACAAGGCGGACCGCGAGAAGCTGCGGCGCGACCGCCTCAACGACCAGTTCGCGGAGCTCGCGACCGTGCTGAGTGCGTCTCGCTTCCCCCTCCCTTGCGCCTTTCCGCTTCCGCGCATTCCCCTTCCCCTTCCCTTGTGCTTCCTCGTGACCGCCTCAACGACCAATTTGCGGAGCTCGCGACCGTGCTCAGTGCGTCCCTCCGCCTTCCATCCTTTCTTCATTCCGCGCATTTCCCCTTCCCCTCCCCACTCCTATGCGCCTTAACTTAACGATCAGTTCGCGAAGCTCGCGGGCGTGCTGGGTGCGTCTCCCGCTTCCGTTTTCCCCTCAACTCTCCCGTTCCGCATTCCGCATTCCGCTCCCCCTTTGGCGGAACGCTTCTCGTCTCCACGTCAGCTCGCTGGCGTGCTGAGCGCGTATTGCTTCCCCTTCCCACCTTTCCGTTTCCGTTATCCCGCTTTTACCCTTCCCGTTTCCCCCCTGCGCCTCCGCCATTAGTCCGCAGAAATCGCTGAAGTTCTCAATGCAAAACCGTGCCACCCATTCCCCTAGCCCGCTTTCCCTTTCCCCCCTCATTTCCCGTTCCGACTTTCCCGTTTGGATTCCCGCTTACTGTGCATTCCTTGGCCCCCTTTCCCTCTCCCCCTCCCCATTTCCCCTCTTTCCGCCCCCCCGCCCGCCCTGATCCCATTCCTACCTTTGTCTCTTGTCCTCTCCGCATCGTTTTCGGTTCCTATACTGCGTGGCATGGCATGGCATGGCATGGCATGGCGTGGTATGGCGTGGCGTGACATGACATGTTCGCATCGGTGGCATGGCATGCACACATGGAATGACATAACATGACATAACATGACATAACATGACATGCACACACAAAAGCGCAGACCCCGAGCGGCCGAAGAACGACAAGGCGACCATTCTGGGCGATGGCTTGGTCATGCTGAGACAGCTCAGGCTGAGCGCGTGTCGTCTCCGGTCCGACCACTCTGCTCTCCTGGACGAGTCCAAAGAGGTGGGTGCAGTGCGGTACAGCACGGTACCACATGGTAGGCGAGGCGACCATTCTGGGCGATGGCTTGGTGATGCTGCAACAGCTCAGGCTGAGCATGTGTCGCCTGCGGTCCGGCCACTCTGCTCTGCTGGACGAGTCCAAAGAGGTGGGTGCAGTGCGGTACAGAGCAATACGGCACGTTGATACATGGTCATATGTTCATCCCCTCCTCCCCTCGTCCCCTCGTCCCCTCCTCCCCTCCTCCCCTCACCTTGTTTGCATCACCTGTATCCCTCCAGCTGGGCAGTGAGAAGTCGGAGCTGCGGCAGGAGAAGGCAGCGTAGAAGCTGGAGATAGAAGCCATGCAGGCCCAGCTGCGGGAGAGAGGGGTTCATGTGCCCATGCGCGTCTCCTCTCCCCCTGTGCACCTGTGTCTCACCCTCCGCTTGCCCGAAACCCTCCAGCTCGGGTCAGAGAAGTCGGAGCTGCGGCAGGAGAAGGCAGCGTTGAAGCTGGAGATAGAGGCGATGCAGGCTCAGCTGCAGGAGCGAATCAACACGCTCGCTTGTACCCTCTCCCCCCTCTCCCCGTTACGCACACCGCCCCTTCCTCTCAGCTGGGCAGTGAGAAGTCGGAGCTCCGGCAGGAGAAGGCGGCACTGAAGATAGAGATAGAGGTCATGCAAGCACAGCAACAGGAGAGAGGGACTCCAATGCCCATGTGCGTCTCCTCTCCCCCTGTGCCTCACCCTCCGCTCGCCTTCCTTTCCCTTCCAGCTTGCCAGTGAGAAGTCGGAGCTGCGGCAGGAGAAGGCAGCGTTGAAGGTGGAGATAGAGGCCATGCAGGCTCAGCTGCAGGAGCGAATCAACACGCTAGTACCCTGGATGTACAATACTGCTGCTGTTTCTGCTGCTGGCGATGGTGCTGCTGCTAGTGGTGCTGCCAATGGTGATGGTGGTGCGGGTTCATGTGCTGGTGGTGCAGGTGCTACTGTTGCTGGTTTTGACGCTAGCTTTGCTGCTTCCAGTGCTGCTGGTGCAGCCACTGCTTCTGCTGGTTTTGGTTCCACCTATGATGCTGCTGGTGCTTCTGGTGCTTCTGGTGCTTCTGGTGCTGCCGGTGCTGCTCGGTTACCTGCAACCCCTGCCCAGGCTACGACTGCCCTGCTTCCTCCTGCAACCCACCCTTCTCTCGCTTCTCCTCCTGCTCCTCTTCCCTCGGCCTCCTATTTCCCTCTCGGTTCTCCTGCTGCTTCTTCTGCTCCTCCTGATCCTCTTTCTGCTGCTGCTGCTGTATGTTCGACGCTGCAGCAGCAGCTGCAGCAGCACCAGCAAATGTATATGCAGCAGCAGCAGCAGCAACCGCAGCAGCAGCAGCAGCAGCAGCAGCAGCAGCATCACCAACAACAACAGCAACAGCAACAGCAACAGCAACCGCAACCGCAGTACCAACAACAGCAGCAGCATCAGCAACAGCAACCGCAGCAGGAGCAACAGCAACAGCAGTACCAGCAGCAGCAGTACTTGCAACAGCAACAGCAACACCAGCAGCAACAGCAGCCACAGCAGCAGCAACAGCAGCAGCAACAGCAACCGCATTACCAGCAGCAGCAACAGCAACAGAAGCAGTACCAGCAGCAACAGCAGCCACAGCAGCAGCAACAGCAGCAGCAACAGCAACAGCAACCGCATTACCAGCAACAGCAACAGCAACAGCAGCAGCAACAGCAACAGCAACCGCATTACCAGCAACAGCAACAGCAACAGAAGCAGTACCAGCCACAATCTTACACTCCCCAATTTTCCCATCAGCAAGCGTATGTGTTGGTTCCAGCCTATCAGCCCAGCCCCCACACACACACCCAGCCGCAACACCCAGCACACCAGCCACACAACCAGCAGCAGCAGCAAGAGCAGCAGCAGCAGCAGCAGCAGCAGCAGCAGCAGCAGCAGCAGCAGCAGCAGCAGCAGCAGCAGCAGCAGCAGCAGCAGCAGCAGCAGCACACACACAGAGTCACCCAACAGCACTACCTAGCAAACCAGCCAAACAGCCAGCAGCAGCAGCAAATACACGCACTCACCCGCCAACACCACCCAGCATACCAGCCACACAGCTACAGCCTTCCACCCACACCGGTATTACCCTCTCCTTCCGCTCTCCCCAGTCCTCCTCCCCTTGCTCATCCTCCTCCTTCTCATCCTCCCCCTGCCCCTCCGCCCCATCACCAACAACCGCATCAGCAGCAACAGAAGTATTATCCGCAGCAGCAGCAGACGCAGCAGCAGCAGCAGCAGCAGCCACAGCAGCAGCAGCCACTTTTCCAGCAGGCTTCCCCACAACATCAGCTCAAAACTTCCCAAACTTGTGCAAGCTATCATACGCACACACAACCACACACCACCGCACCACACACCTCCACACCACATAGTACCCATGCTCCAAACTGGACAGGTCAGCAGGCGCCTTTGACAGATCAGCAAGGGGGTGTGACAGGTCAGCTTTCACAGTCACTGGCATCGTTGGTACAGTCTCCTAGGGTTGCAATTCCACCCAGTCAACTTAGTCAACCCAGTCAACCCAATCAACCCAGTCAACCCAGTCAAGCCAGTCAAGCCAGTCACCCAAGCCTTCAACCCAGTCACCCAAGTCAATTCAGTCAACCCATACAGCCGAGTCAACCCGGTCAACCCAATCAAGCCAGTCAACCAAATCAATTTGGTCAATCCAGTCAACTCACTCCACCGAGTCAAACCTTTCAGCCCAGTCAACCAAGTCAATTGAGACGCGCTGAGCAACCGCTGCTGAAGATTCCTCCTCTCTTAGTGCCAAGACAGCCACCACACCAGCAACCACCACAACCGCACCAGCACCCACCACCTCCACCGCACCAGCACCCACCACCTCCACCGCACCAGCACCCACCACCTCCACCGCACCAGCACCCACCACCTCCACCGCACCAGCACCCACCACAACCGCACCAGCACCCACCTCCACCGCACCAGCACCCACCTCCACCGCACCAGCACCCACCACCTCCACCGCACCAGCACCCACCACAACCGCAACAGCACCCACCGTTGTTGCAACAGCAATTACAGTCAAAGCATCACGAACAGCAGTTTCAGCAGCAGCCTTCGAACCAGCAACAGCAGCAGCAGCAGCAGCAATGGCAACAGCAGCCACCGCAACAGCAACACCAGCAACCGCAACAGCAACCACCACACCAACAGCTGCTGCTGCCAAGTCGACAACCACCAGCCCTGGTGCTTCCTCTGCTTACCACTGTACCCCACAGCACCGCACCTCACAACACAGCTGCCAGCACTGTTTCTTGCGCTGCCACTGCTGCTGCTGGTGCATCTTCAGCTGTTGCCAGTCCCAGCAGGATCCCCAACCTTCTCAGGCTGCCTCGAGTGCCCAGCCCCAAGCTCACTGCTAGTAGCATTCCCCTGCTTCCCAGTCCCAGTGCTGCTACCATTCCTCTTCTTCCAAGTCCCAGTGGAATTTCCGGTGCTAGAAACCCACCCAGCACATCACCAATGGGTAAATCACCCAGAATATTGGTGAGCCCGCCCAGGGCGAGCCCTAGTGCAGAGACCGCGCAAATCTCGGGTAAATTACCCTTAATGTTGCGAAGCCCGCCTAGGGCGGCACCCAGACATGGTCTATTCACACCTGTGGCACACACGACAACGATGGCAGGTGGTGCATATATGCCTGGTGCCGCTACTACTGTGCCTGGTGCTACTACTGTCACTGGTGGTGCTACAAGTGCTCCTGATGCTACTACTGTGGCTAATGCTACAGATGCAACCACAAGTGTAGCTACTGCTGCTGCTGCTGCTGCTGCTGCAGCAGCAGCAGCGGCTACAGGAGGTTTTGCTGCTCCCAGCAACCCAACTGCTCAGCAATCTGTCAGCAACCTGACTCAGCGTGCAACGGCCGTACCTCCTGCCGACCCTGCTACAGCCGCACCTCCTGCTACAGCTGTCCCTAGTTCACTGCCTGCTACAGTACCCGTGGCTGCTACAACTGCCGCTTCTACTCCACCTGCCGCTGCTACAACCGCCCCTTCTGCTGCTCCTACTTCTGCTACAACTGCCCCTTCTGCTGCTCCTACTTCTGCTACAACCGCCCCTTCTGCTGCTCCTACTTCTGCTACAACCGCCCCTTCTGCTGCTCCTACTTCTCCACCTGCTGCTGCTGCGGCTGCAGCATTACCAACCACTACATACCGTAGTAGCACGAGCAGCTAGTGCTGCAGTGGCAGAAACAGGTGATGGGTTCAGTACACAGATGCAGAGGCAGATACCACACATACCATGCAATATATCGTATCCTCCTTAGAAGCTCTGAGCTGTCACAAATTGCTTGCTTAACATCTACATTCTGTTTTATGCTTACAGCTACCGGTATCTGGGATGGATATTTCCTTGCTTGTATCATATTATTTGATTACATACCGGTACATTATCTGATTTGGAAGTTATGTTTACTGGATATGGGTTCACCCAAAAGAAACTCTGAATTCAAAACATAAGCTTCGTGCACGACTTTTCTGCTAGATAAAATACCGGTACATCTCAAGATTATAAGGAGCAAAAAAAAAAACATACCACTGACAACAGAATAATAATGAGATGGCACTGTACTGTACGAATGCAATTAGGCAGTGCCAGCCAGTTGGAGCAGGGCAATCCGAAAGGCAGGGATGGAGATGAGGATCACGCTGAGTGTGCCCTTGAGAGCAAAGGCCAGGCCCGACACTGCATGGGGGGGAGATGAGAGACGGGAGGAGGGAAAGGGGGAGGGATGGGTGGAGGAGTAAGGATAGAGGGCTACGGGGAAATGGCATGCAATCCGGAAGGAAGGGATGGAGATAAGGATAACGCTGAGTGTGCCCTTGAGAGCTAAGGCCAGGCCTGACACTGCATGGGGGGAGGCAGAGGGGTACAGAAGGGGATGGGGAGAGGGAAGGGAAAAGGGCAGAGAAGTCGGGGATTAGGGATAGCATCATGAGAGAGAAGAGAGAAAAAGGCTGGGATGGAGATGGGGATGACACTGAGTGTGCCCTTGAGAGCAAAGGCCAGGCCTGTCACTGCATGGGGGGAGGGGGGAAGAGAAGGGGGAAGGGATGGGGGGTGAGATGGGGAAAGGGCAACGGAGACAGGGATTAGTGGCATGAAAGAGAGAAGAGAGAACAGGCAGGGGTGGTGATGAGGATGAGAGCAGGCAGGGGTGGTGATGAGGATGAGAGCAGGCAGGCAGGCAGGCAGGCCAGGCCTGGCACTAGATAGAGGGACGGGTGGGGAGAGGGATGGGTAAAGAGACGGCAGGAGCACCGACTGCTATGTCTATCACAAACGAACCTGCACCAGTCCATACCTGCACCAGTCCATACCTGCACCAGTCCATACCTGCACCAGTCCATACCTGCACCAGTCAAAAGCCGCCCCACCCCTACATGCCCCACTCCTACCTGCCCCACTTCTACCTGCCCCACTCCTACGGTACCTGCCCCACTCCTACCTGCCCCACTTCCACTGTCACCAGTCAGCACCTGCACCAGTCAGCACCTGCACCAGTCTTACCTGCAGCAGAGCGGGGCTCCTCAGCAACCTGAAACAGGAGAAAAAAGGGCAGACAGGGGAATGGGCGAGCGGCAGGTAAAAACAATGTTGAGTGCTTTTAGAGAGCGAAAAACTGGGTGACGGCTGGAACTAGACAAGTAAAAAATGGGTAACCACTGCCTTTAGACAGGTCAAAAGGTGGTGATGGCTTCTGACTGTTTTTTTGCCATTAAGACCTTGAGAGGGACAAGGCGCATGTGAACGTCCCTCCACAGGTACATGAGGGACAAGGCGCATGTGTTACAATCAGTTGCGCCTCTACAATATGCGGAGGGACGTTCGAGAGCTGTGACGGAACTCGTGTGTGGAGGGACGTTGGAGAGCAGAGGAGAGAAGCAGTCAGGTGGAGCAGAGCAGAGAGCTGCTCCTTGTTGTTGAAGAGGCGTACGTACCAGAGCAGATGTGCCGAGGGAGTGCGAGGCAATGCCGACTGCCAGACCCCTGTGAATGGCGTCCCGCACCTGATGGGGAGGGTGGAGAGGGGAGTAGGTAGAAGAGGGGGGCAGAACACGTGCTTGATTATCAGGTGCTTAGATGCATGGAGGGAGTGCGAGGCAATGCCCACCGCCAGACCCCTGTGAATGGCGTCCCGCACCTGATGGGGAGAGTGGAGAGGGAAGAACGGATGGATGAGGGGATGGAAGAGGGGGGTACACATGTGCGAGATGCAATAAAGGAGTGCGAGGCAATGCCGATGGTCACACACACACACACATACCCCTTCCCAACCCCACAATTGTCACACGTCACACCCACTCTGCACACCAACACCTTTCTTCCCCACTCCGTCCCCTTCCCCTCTTCCCCCCCCCCCCCCCCCCTCCCCCCCTCCTCCCCCCCCCGGCTCGCTCCCTCTTCGTACCTTCCACTGATCAAGGAGGGTTCTGGCCGTGCTAATACCGGTGGTGCCCGCTATAGTCACACCCGCCACCACAAGCCCAGTGCTGGCAGAGAGGAGCGGCACCATCTCGATGGCCAGACCTAGGGTGGTCTGGAGGGGGAGAGGGGGGAAGAGGAGGGAGGGAGGGGAACACGTTATCAGAAGCACAAAAACTGTGCTGGCAGAGAGCAGCGGCACCATCACGATAGCTAGACCCAGGGTGGTCTGGCGGAGGGGAGAGAGGAGGGAATAGGGAAGACGAGAGGAGGCTTGAGACTCTATGGTCACACCCGCCACCACGAGGCCTGTGCTGGCAGAGAGCAGCGGCACCATCTCGATGGCTAGACCCAGGGTGGTCTGTTGGAGGGGGCGGTGGGGACAGAAAGGGGCAGGATTTGAGGAAGGGGAAGGGAGGAAGGGAGGGGGTAAGAGGAGCTACAGTCACACCCGCAACTACGAGGGCTGTGCTGGCAGAGAGCAGAGGCACCATCTCGATGGCTAGACCCAGGGTGGTCTGGTGGTTTGCGGGTGAAACGGTACGAAGAGGAGGGAAACAAGAAAAAGGCCAAGGATAGTGGGTAGGAAAGGAGGGGTTACGAGCAGTGGCGCCATCTGAATGGCGAGACCCGCTTTTGAGAATTCTCAAAGGCACCTTCTCAATAGTGAGATACGTGTGAGGGGATGAACGAGATGGTGACAATGCTGCTAGTCGCCATACACAAGGAGTACACAACACAAACACATGCATGCATGTGTGAGCACAGCACACGGGCCGCAAGTACAGGAGGACAAGCACAGGAGCGCATGCACCCACCCACACACGTACGTGTGAAGGGATGAGCGAGTTGATGACGATGGGGGGCGCCATGAGCAGCCTTCCCATCAGCGCTGTCACCATGAACTGACTGTGACGGGTGGGGAGAGGAGAAGGTGAGGGAGAGGAGAAGGTGGGCAGGTGCGAAAGGGGAGGGGGGGATGGGAAGGATTAGAAAGGAAGGACAATTGCCTTGAGCAGCCTCCTAGCAGAGCTGTCACCATGAACCGACTGTGATGGGAGTTGGGGAGAAGAGGGAGGGGGGAGGGAAGGGGGAGGAGAGTAGAGGAGAAAGGGGACAAGAGGGAAGGTGGCAAGGAAGAACCAGGAGAGATAAGGGAGGAATCCAAAAACTATTCTAATGGATAAGGGAGGAATCCAAAAACTATTCTAAGAGATAAGGGAGGAATCCAAAAACTATTCTACGAGATAAGGGAGGAATCCAAAAACTATTCTAAGAGATAAGGGAGGAATCCAAAAACTATTCTAAGAGATAAGGGAGGAATCCAAAAACTATTCTACGAGATAAGGGAGGAATCCAAAAACTATTCTAAGAGATAAGGGAGGAATCCAAAAACTATTCTAAGAGATAAGGGAGGAATCCAAAAACTATTCTAAGAGATAAGGGAGGAATCCAAAAACTATTCTAAGAGATAAGGGAGGAATCCAAAAACTATTCTAAGAGATAAGGGAGGAATCCAAAAACTATTCTAAGAGATAAGGGAGGAATCCAAAAACTATTCTAAGAGATAAGGGAGGAATCCAAAAACTATTCTAAGAGATAAGGGAGGAATCCAAAAACTATTCTAAGAGATAAGGGAGGAATCCAAAAACTATTCTAAGAGATAAGGGAGGAATCCAAAAACTATTCTAAGAGATAAGGGAGGAATCCAAAAACTATTCTAAGAGGTAAGGGAGGAATCCAAAAACTATTCTAAGAGATAAGGGAGGGAGGAATCCAAAAACTATTCCAAGAGATAAGGGAGGACAACGTGCCCGAAAACTATTCTAAGCATCCTTCATATTTTTTTCCGAATGTTTCACAAAAACATGCCAATCAGAGCACACTCGCACTGGCACCATGGCGTGGCACACTCATACTGGCATGATGACGTGGCACACTCACATTGGCACCATGACTGCACACGTGGCAGCAATGTCAAGCGCGTATCTCTTGAGCAGCGACTTCTCTGTGAATACCTGTGAGAATGGTGTGGGAAAGAAGGGGGGGGCGGGGACGGAGGAGAGGGATAGAAAGGACGAGGGAAAGGAGGAAAGAGAAAGGTCAAGCGAGACTCTCTTGAGCAGAGACTTTCCCGTGAATATACCTGTGGGGATAAGGCGAGAGTGGTCAAGAGAGCACAGGAAAGCGAAGAGGATATGCGGAAAGATAAAGGTCAAGTCTTCATCTTAAAAGCCAGCCAGAGATCTTCAATTACCAGCTTAACGAGCACAATAGGCCTACGCGAGATCCGGACATGGCTCAGTGAGCACAATAGGCCTAGAGCGGGACGGATCCAAGCCAAATTACCTTGTGCTCTCCTTGATATGAGTGCAGCAGAATAAATACACTACACGCACCTTAAAGCCCAACGCCCCCACTGCAGGTCCGATCAGAGCCACAAGAAAGGCACCTGTGTGACCAAGGGGAAGGAGAGTGGGCAGGGGGAATGGGAGGGGAGGAGAGAAAGACGAGGGAAGGGCACAAGGGAAAGAGTGAAGGAGGCGAGGAGGAAAGAGAGCGAATGAGGGGAGGTAAGGAGGAAAGAGGCTGAAGGGATCAGCAGAAGAAGTCGAAGAGGGGAGAAGGAAGGAAGGAAGGAAAAAAAGAGAGAAAGGTGAAGTGAAGGAAGGAAGGAAGGAAAGAGAGAAAGGTGAAGTGAAGGAAGGAAGGAAGGAAAGGGTTCCACAGAAAGGAAGTCAACCCCCACCTCACGCCCACGCCCACGCCCAATGCCCACGCCCAATGCCCAATGCCCCATGCCCCATGCCCCATGCCCCATGCCCCATGCATGCAACCCCATGTCTTATGCCTCACCTGCCCCTTGGGAGTAGAGCCGGATGCCTGCCTGCCAGTTGTTGAGGGCGTATGAGCCGTACATGGCCATGAGAGACGTCATCACTCTCATATAGCCCTTCTGTTCCCCCACCTGGCCCCCCCACTCCTCACCCGCCCCCACCAGTCCCTCACCTGCCCCTTGGGAGTAGAGCCGGATGCCTGCCTGCCAGTTGTTGAGGGCGTATGAGCCATACATGGCCATGAGAGACGTCATCACTCCCCCTGCTGCTACTGTGGGGACCAGCAGCGAGCGGATGTTGGCAGGCAGGCTGGCGGGGAGGGGGTGGGAGTACGGGGATGGGGGGGGGATGGGGAGAGGAGAGGGGGAGGAGGGCGGGAGCCGGCAGAGGAAGCAGGGCGTATGATACAGTTTGAGAATTCTCAAAAGGCCATGAGAGACGTCCCGACTCCCCGTGCTGCTACTGTGCGGACTAGCAGCGAGCGCACGTTGGCAGGCAGGCTGAAGAGGGGAGGAAGAGGGGAAGGCGGAGTGGGTCGATGGGGCAGACGGGACAAGCGGGGGTCGAGGGGGTATTTGGAGATGTGAAGGTGTGAGGAAGCGGCAAAGGGGTGAGGGAGCGGCAAAGGAGAGCTGGGAGGGCTTAAGTACGGCGGCGGAGTGGACGAGAAAGAAAAGAAAAGAAAAGAAAAAGAAAATGCGAACGGAGAAGGGGGGTGGGGTTGGGGGAGGGAGGGGACGGGAAAGAGGCAGATGCGCATTGTACTCACGTTTTGGCAACGGGGTGAGATGAGAGGAGAGGCGAAGGGGTGTGAGGGGAGGCGAAGGGGTGTTGACCTGGGAAAGAGGCAGATGCGCATTGTACTCACGTTTTGGCGGACTGAAAGACGGCGATAGAGAGGAGGAGAAGGCCCGGCGCTGCCTGCAGTGGGGAAGGGGGAGAGGAGGAGGACGAGATGAGCGAAAGGAGCAGGGGGAGCGGACACGATGGGGCACAGCGGGACAGCAGAGGGACGACTTTTGAGGCGCCTCAAAAGACGAGATGAGGGAAAGGAGCAGGAGCGGTGCAGGCAAGGAGCGGACAAGGAGCGAGCAAGGAGCAGGAAAGGAGCGGGCAAGGAGCGGGCAAGGAGCGGGCAAGGAGCGGGCAAGGAGCGGGCAAGGAGCGGGCACGATGGGGGTACAGCGAGACAGAAGAGAGTGCAGTGCGGTATGGGAAGGTGAGCAGCGGCAGACATGAAGGCGGTCAGAGAAGTCACCATGGGGGAAGTGGGCACGACTTTTGAGGCGCCTCAAAAGTGGGCACGGGAGTGAGAAGGGCATTAGAGCAGCAGCGAGCGAGAGATACTTGGCGGAGGAGAGCGGGAGGGTAGTGTAGAGACGCGTCACCACACTAACACAGAGATAGGCGGTGAAGCTAGGCCTGCGATGCGTTGGGTTTGGACTCACCATTTGGGCGGTGGGGACAGGAGTGAGGAGCGCGAGAGAGAGCATGAGAGCCGCAGCGAGGTAGAGGTACTTGGCTTGGCGGAGGAGAGGGGGAGGGGTTGAGACACCTCACGAACACATGGACAGGCGGTGAAGCCACAGCTTCAACACTGGCATTGCCGCTGTGAGATGCCTTAGGAGGCGGTCGGTGTACTCACCATTTGGGCGGTGGGGACAGGAGTGAGGAGGGCGGGTGAGAGCATGAGAGCCGCAGCGAGGTAGAGGTACTTGGCGGAGGAGAGGGGCAGGGAGATGAGAGGGGAAGGGCGTAAGATGCCTCACGAACACATTCAGGTAGGTAGGGGGTGGACTCACCATTTGGGCGGTGGGCACGGGGGTGAGGAGCGCCGGTGAGAGCATGAGGGCAGCAGCGAGGTAGAGGTACTTGGCGGAGGAGAGGGGCAGGGAGAGAGATGCCTCAACACAGACAGTTAGTTACCATGGGAGCAGGCAAGCAGTGCACTCACCATTTGGGCAGTGGGGACGGGAGTGAGGAGCGCGGGCGAGAGCATGAGGGCCGCAGCGAGGTAAAGGTACTTGGCGGAGGAGAGGGGGAGCGGCGGCAGCTTTTGTCTGACTGGCGTCTTGATGCTGTCTGCCACCTTGTCGAGCGCTTTAGCTGCTTTCACTGCCAACTGGGAGGGAGAGGGAAGGGCAGGGAGGGAGGGAGGGAGGGAGGCAGAGGGGGAGGGAGGGAGGGAGGGAGGGAGGGAGGGAGGGAGGGAGGGAGGGAGGGAGGGAGGGAGGGAGGGAGGGAGGGAGGGAGAGAGGGAGGTAGGTAGAGGGGGAGGGGGAGGGAGGTAAAGGGGGAGGGAGGGAGAGAGGGAGGGAGGTTCAAGCAAGGAAGGGAGCAAAGAGGGGAAAGGGAGAGATAGATAGGATTGGACTGAGGTCGGCAAGGAGCACTAACCATAGCTTTGCCCCTTTGTCCAATGATTAATATGTGTACACGTGTGCGTGTGTGTGTGCGCGCGCGTGTGCACATGTGCATGCATGCATGAGTGTACAAGTACATGCACCCATCCTCCCCCCTCATCTGCGCCACGTCCCTCTCTCCCGCGCCCATAGCACCCTGCGCCAGTGCCTTGGCACCCCTCTGCCGTGCTCTAGTGTGTGTCTGCAGCATTCATATGCACCCATTTTCCATCCCCCATCCCCATATCCCCTCAACCCCCCGTTTTTTAGTTTACAAAAAGAAACGCCCATTGGGGGAGCTTTAGTGTATGTCTGTGTGCATTCCCTTCCCCCCCCCTTCCCCACCCTCACCTGCGCCACGTCCTTCTCCCCCGCGCCCATGGCAGCCTGCGCCAGCGCCTTGGCGCCCTTCTGCGCGGCCTGCTTGCCCCACATGCGCGCAGCATCCCCTATCCGCTCCACCTTCTCCCCTCCCCGTACTCATGCCACCCCTCTGTGCGTCTCTCTGTTTGCGTCTCGCACTGTGTGCGTCTGTGTGTGTTCACATGCACGTGTGTGCATTCCAATGCTCCCCTCCCCTTTTTCCCCCTTCCCCCCCCCCCCTTACCTGCGCCACATCCTTCTCCCCCGCGCCAATAGCAGCCTGCGCCAGCGCCTTGGCGCCCTTCTGCGCGGCCTGCTTCCCCCACATGCGCGCAGCGTCCCCTATCCGCTCCACCTTCTCTCCATCGCTCATGCTCCCGTCCCCCGCAGGCCCCCTTTTCCGCTTCCCCCCCCTCCCCTTCCCTTCCGCCAGGCTGCTAGCAAATGACCCCCATGAGTCGAGTAGTTGGCCTATAGAGCGGGCTACGAGGGCGGAGAGGAAGAGAGTGAGGAGGTAGGAGGAGAGGAGGAGCGCGATGGACTTGGTTAGGGCGAGTCCGGTGGGTAGAGGGGCGAGAGCGATAGATGCCTGGTGGAATGGGAGCGGCAGAGGAGGGAAAAGAAGAGTAGGAGAGAAAGGGGGGCGTTCTTGTGATTGTTGTGAAAATGATTATGAGTGGGCTGGAGCGTCCCGTCGAAGGTTTTTTTTTTGTATTGTATATTAATGATAATAATAATAATCATCATCATCATAATACTACTTATAATTATTATATAAATATATTAAAAAACGAGTTTGATAGGAGATTCCAAAACGAAGAAGCTCAATAAAGGGGCACTTTTTATGATTCTCAGCTCAGCAGGCAGGGACCAAGCAACGAGGCTGAGGATGGTGGGTGGGACGAGCGGAAGAGGGAGGGGGGGGAGAAGTAAGGTCGGGTGGGGGAGAAAGGTTGTTGGAAGGAGGTAAGGGGTTGGGTAGGGAGAGAGCAGGGAAAAGGGGGAAAGCGCTTGAAGATGGGAGGAAGAGAGGCAGAGACGAAGGGCTTACCACGGAGGGGACGAAGAAGAGCGGCATCCATTGGTCGAAGAACGAGATGGCTGGGTAGCACCAATCGTACACTGCCACGTGGAAACAAATCATGAAACGGGAAAAGGAGGAGGCAGAAATGGGAGGAGGAAGTGGGGGAGTGAGTGAGTGCACATTTGAGCGCTCGCTAAAAACCATAATGAAGGTATAATCCGCAGCCCGATTCTTATGAGTAATTGTTTTCGACATATTGCTTAGAACGTGCTTCGAAGTTGCATCAGCTAAATCACGTCTCCTCAAGTTCTTAAAATAAATTACCAGTCTCCTACGCCTGCCTATACTCCCACCCCACCCCGTCTCCTTACCCAACCCTGCCCTCCTCTTCAAGTCCGACATTCCTGCTCCCACTCGTGCTCGCTACTGCTTCATTCGCTTTCACTCCAATTCTGCCCATTTTCACCATCAACCGCACCCCACTCCGCCGCCTTACCCTGCCAATGGCTCCCCTTCCCCTCTTCCCTCTCTTCCCCCGGTCACTCACCCATCTCCGCCTCTTCAAGTCCGTCGCCATAAGCGCGCCGATCCCCGCCATTCCCCCCAACTCCCTCTTTCCCGTTTCCCCCTCCCCCCCGGTCACTCACCCATCTCCGCCTCTTTAAGCCCGGTCGCCATAAGCGCGCCGATTCCCGCCAGCATCAGCACGGGCGCGGGCACGGGGAAGCTGTAGGTGCGCGCAGTGGCGGCGAGCGCGCGCTCCATCGCGAACAGTACCGCCACGCCAGCAATAGAGCGCACTGCAAGGCGGGGGGGGGGATGGGGGAATGGGCGAATGGGCGTATGGGCGAAACGGGGAAACGGGGAAGAGGAGGCGGGAAGGGGAAAATGGGGAAGCGGAGGGGGAGGCTGTCGGCGCGCGCAGTGGCGGCGAGCGCGCGCTCTATCGCAAACAGTACCGCCACTCCGCAATAGAGCGCACTGCAAGGCGTAGGGGGAATGGGGGAATGGGGAAACGCGGAAGAGGAGGGGGGAAGGGGAAAATGGGGAAGCGGAGGGGGAGGCTATCGGTGCGCGCAGTGGCGGCGAGCGCGTGCGCCATCGCGAACAGTACCGCCACGCCTGCGATAGAGCGCACTGCAAGGCGGGGGGGGGGGGGGGGGGGGGGGGGGGAGAGGGGGATGGGGGAATGGGCGAATGGGCGTATGGGCGAAACGGGGAAACGGGGAAGACGAGGCGGGAAGGGGAAAATGGGGAAGCGGAGGGGGAGGCTGTCGGCGCGCGCATTGGCGGCGAGCGCGCGCTCTATCGCAAACAGTACCGCCACTCCGCAATAGAGCGCACTGCAAGGCGTTAGGGGAATGGGGAAACGCGGAAGAGGAGGGGGGAAGGGGAAAATGGGGAAGCGGAGGGAGAGGCTGTCGGTGCGCGCAGTGGCGGCGAGCGCGTGCGCCATCGCGAACAGTACCGCCACGCCTGCGATAGAGCGCACTGCAAGGCGTAGGGGGAATGGCGCGCGCAGTGGCAGTATCGCGTGCTGTGATAGCGCGTGCTGTATCGCGACTAGTACCGCCACGCCCGCAATAGGCCGGAATGTACGGCGTAGGAGGGAAGGGCGGAAATTGGGAAGCTTTAGGCCGCGCGCATTGGCGGCGCATGCGCGCTCTATTGCGCACTGCTCGGGGTACGGGGAAAAGGGGAAATGGGCAAACGGAGGGGGAAGCTGTAGGCGCGCGCTGTGACGGTCAGCGCGCCCGATTTCGAACAGAACCGCCACGCCTGCGATATTGTGGACTCCGCGCTATGGGGGGAAACTGAGGAAGCTGCGGAGAAGCTGAGGGAAAAGGGTCCCCGTCCGGGAGAGCTGTAGGCGCGTGCTGCGACGGCCAGCGCGCTCCATTTCGAACAGTACCTCCTCACCTGCTGGACTGCGGGAGGCTGGATGACCTGTAGACCGCGAGCCATGGCTGGGTCACTGTTACATCTGATTATGTACAATATTTTTTATAATTATTCTACTGACAATTGACTTCATATGCTATTTCTCGGTTTTACTAGTGGTCACTTTCGATTTAAGATCTTACCGATGGGAAAATCGCTCCACGACGGCGGCACCTCCCACACCTCGCGAGAGCCGCCGTCCCTCGAAACTGCCGACGCTCGCACAGACAGCCGCCGCGACGCGGGCTGGCCTGGAGTGCTCGTTATAAGCTTAATCCTAGGTAGTGTAACGGAGCAATTGGACCCCCCAACGGCGAACATTCCGCTCTTATTTCCCGACAGCACAGAAGCGGAGTCGAATCGGTCATTGGACCTCCGGCTACGTTGTCGAGACGACGCGTTTGTAATAAATGCTGGCTGCCTGGTAGCTCTCGGGATCGTCGTCACCTCTCGCTTACTACTGTGCGACACTGTCTGACTGTGCGACGCTGGCAGTGTGCAACGTGCGCCTATTTGGGCAGTATTCGCTGCTGACGTGGCCATGACGGCGTGAAGCTTGACGGAGGGAGCTTTATTCTGAAAAGGCCCGCGAAACGACGACAGACTATCTCGCCTGAACTTGATTCAGGTCTGACCTCCAGTAGACTAAGAGGTTGGAGACTCTGTAAGGATAAGCTGCTTAGGGCGAAATGGTTCCTAGAAACGAGCTACGCAAAGCCGTCTCTCTGTTTTTCAAACAGCTACGCTGCTGGTGCTTCGTAGGACGATTTCTAGGAAGTATGTCGGGAGAGTGATGAATCGTTCCTTGAAAATGCCCTAGAAGGAAGACTATGCTGGTCTGCTGCTGATTTGCTCGACAGAATCGGGAGTTACATTGGAGTTCTCCCCTTATCGGTTGGCGAACTTTCGGCACACACAGACTTTGTGGACTGCGAGATGGTCTCGCAGTTCGCGAATTGTTCTCGCGAACCTTCGTGGCGAATGAGAGAGTTGCTTGAACGGAGGTTGGATTGAGCATAAGGGAATGAGTGAAGAGGAAGACCCAAGCGAGCCGCGTAATTTGGTTTCGCGGTTTGACTCCCTGACGAGTCAGTTTGCCTGTTAGGAGGGAAAGTGATGCCACGTAGGCAGAAGCTAGACGAAATCACGAACTACACGTGGACTTGGCCTTGGGTCCATGGATGCCACGCACGAACCGATGTACGAATCAGTGCAGAGTTTTCAGGAAGGGGAGAAACACATGCATTGAGAACTTGATTTGCAACTTCGAGGCGTGTTTAGAGGCAAAGAACATTTCTCGAGTGCAGAAAGTTTGGCACTCACGCACTGAGATGAGAAACGCATCTGTACCTCTGAGAGCACGGAATGGATTCAAAACGACACTACAACTGGTCTACACCGTCAACTGCATACCCACAGATTAGGCCCTCCACTTGTATACGGAACAACTCACTTATACCGTAGGTTCTTAACTCCTTTACAGATACAGCGATAATAGAACCTCATAGCTTTATGAAGTGTAACCAGCTGATCCAGCAATTCTGGCAGGTTGTCACTTGCGGCTTCTGGCAGCAGCTTTGTTGAAGAGGTGATGGAGAATAAGCACTTGAGCTCCGTTGGCAAGGACAAGAACCAACACTTCCAGCAGGGCATACCAAAATACCCGCTGCTTTGTGCTCTCATTTGCTGCACAAACATGCCACATTCGCCCACAAATACAACAAATGGCAGAAACCCACAAACACACAAACACACGGGTGTGATGTGAAGGCAACCAGTTTTCCAGAAGGAGAGGCCCCTGATACATACTGCAAGCAATCACACCACGGCAAACTCTTACAATAAACGCATGACATAACATTTTTAGCTATAAGGCCACGGCGACTATGAGGAAGACAAAGATGAGTGATGAGGGGGGTCTACATGAAAAGAGAAAAGAAGGATTAACAAGAAGAGGGCAAACGAAGGCAAAAGGCACTCACTTCTCCGTCGCCGTTCATCGCGGGCTTGAAAGTAGGCTTGGTCCTGCTGCACCAGAACCAGACCGGAACGAATTGACTCCACCTGACCAGGGTCTCCCTGCATGTGCTCTGAAGAAGGCAAGGAAGCGGGACGAGGAGGAGTAGGGGTTTGGAAGGGATTTCGGGAAGTAGGCCTGATTCTGCTGCAGCAGAACCAGACCGAAACGGATTGACTCCACCTGACCAGGGTCTCCCTGCATGTGCTCTGAAGAAGGCAAGGAAGCGGGAGAGTATGAATTGGAGATATAACGATAATGAGCACATGCAGTGTCCTAAGTTGACAGAAAGTAGGGCCTTCAAAATAAAAAAGATAAAAAAAAAGATGACCAGCTTGTTAAACTGGGGAATGTCATGGGTGTCAACGACTCACCGTCCTTAGCCACCTCATGGGTGTGCGGTTTGTGGCCAATGTGGTAGCTGAGCTGCACGGTGGCAGCCATGTGGTCCGTGTTGTCCATGCAGAAGCTGTAGTCGCCCGAGTACATGGACCGGAACTCCCATCCCCCCCCCTCCCATCCCCCACCTCCCATTCCCCGCCTCCCGTTCCCCACCTCCCATCCCGCCTTCCATTCCCCCCCTTCCATCCCCCAGCTCCAACCCCCCCCATACAAGCACTCGTTGCACAGCGTACCATCTTTGGCCACCTCATGGGTGTGTGGTTTGTGTCCGATGTGGTAGCTGAGCTGCACGGTGGCAGCCATGTGGTCCGTGTTGTCCATGCAGAAGCTGTAGTCGCCCGAGTACATGGACCGGAACTGGAAGTTGTCCTCCGACTTGCGCTTTGCACTGTACAGCTTCAGGTTGTGTGGGCCAATGATCTGAAACGAGGAGGCGGAAAACGCGTACATTTAAAGAGTCAATGCGAGAGGAGAGGGAGTTTTGGATGGAGGCAGAAGCTGTAGTCGCCCGAGTATTTGGACCGGAACTGAAAGTTGACCTCTGACTTGCGCTTTGCACAGTAGAGCTTCATGTTGTGTGGGCCTATGATCTGAATCGAGGATGGGGAAAACGCATGCACAGAAAGAGTGAATGAAGGAGAGGGCGGTTTGGATAGATGCAGAAGTTGTAGCCGCTTGAGTACATGGACGGACCGAAACTGAAAATTGCCCTCCGACTTGTGCTTTGCACTGTACAGCTTCAGGTTGTGTGGGCCTATGATCTGACGAGAGGAGCGTGGGGGAGTACAAGGGAAAACACGTGGACAGAAATAGTATGTTAGATGAGAGTGAGAGATGGGAAGAGGCAGGAGCCGTGGTTTCTGAGAGCATGAAATTTGAACTGGAGCCGTGGTTGCTGCGGTGTGCTGTGGATCTGAAACGCAGATTGTGATATGGCATTGATCTGAAATGTAATGAAAGAAATGTAACACCCTCAATATACCGGCACAATAAGAGCTGCATGAGCAATGACGTGCTGATGCAGTGGGCTTGGTGACCTCTGACTAAAGGCCTGCACGGCTTGGCGATAAAATTGATAACCGCTTTGATCGGCCAGGCACCGTAAAGGAAGAGGTTGGATAGAGTCGCAGCATTCCCTTCCAACCCAACAGGTTCGGCAAAGGTTTCATATCGACCGTCAACGGTCTGACCCAGCCGCATCTGACCGACTTTGAACCAAGGGTGGAAGCTTTTGAGTCGACTCAAAAGTCAACTTTGAATCAAGGGTGGCACAAAGTTGACTTCCACCCTTGATGTGCTGCATGCAGCTCCAGGGTACGACGGACCTCGAAGTCGATGGTTCCCGCGTCGCTAAGCCACGCGCTGTCGACGTCAATAACCACGAAGCTTCCCGTCACCGCCTCGTTTGCTTCTAGGTGCTCCGTTAGGCACTCCTTGCCTTCCACCAGCAGCACGACGGCCGCCGTGCGACGGCATGCGACGAACGCTAGCGACAGAACGAACAGCGAGACGCTCGCGAGCCGAGCGAGCGATGGGATGCGAAATGACGACGCCATAATGCAGTGCGTCCCCTGCACGCGTGTCGCGTTAACGGACAAACTCTCCGGGATTCCCGCAGTAACCTCTTGGGGAACGCGTCTCAAGCTTGCCTAAAATCAGTCATCAGCAGCTCGCACCAGACCTTGGGATCTACGGCAGTTTACTATGGATTAGTTTCGTTCCACGCAAAATCTCCGGAGTGGTTTTCTAAATTCTGTACACTTCCAGTTTACATATACGGAATGCAGTTCAAGGTATATTTTTTAGAGATTTAGTTAAACATGCCCTTTCGCAGGGGTGAAAGTAGACAGTTAGGCTGGTAGGTAACTCCTGATTTCATATATGTTTGGACTACAACTATGAGAAATCGATTTTATTCTTGACTAGATATCTACGGAGTCTCAAGAAGGTTCATCGTCTTTGGCCAACATTACCCAAGAAATCAGATAACCTGCCAATTGATATAACAGCATACAGTGTAGAACAATGAGGAGCTGGTTCTTCAGTACAGTCAGAAACACGAAACACAGCATGCATTTTCATTCAACTTGGTATTAATATTTTGAAGTATCATGAAATCTTCCATGCAACTCCATACACACCTGATGTCTCTTGAAATGACAGCGCTCCCATCAGCGGAAGACAGGTGCCGCAATTTCACCTCCTCCAACCGCCCGTCCCGGTATGCGTGCTGCAAGCACGGGGTGGTGGGAGGGAGGGAGAGGTTTGGGGGGTGAAGGAGGGGAAAATATGTACTTTTCAGGCGCTTCTCCTCCTCCTCCGGCCGCCCGTTCCAATATGCGGGCTGGGAGTGCATGGTGGTGGGAGGAATGGGGGAGGAGAGGGGGGTTTAAGGGGGAAAAATGGAGGGATGGAGAAATAAAATGAATGGACAAGGGAGAGGGGAGACAAAAAAAAATGAATGGACAAGGGAGAGGGGAAACCAAAATAAAATGAATGGACAAGGGAGAGGGGAAACCAAAACGAGGAAACAAGGCAAGAGAGAAAAAAAGCAGCGAGAGGAAGATTGGGAGTGGGAGAGAGGAGATGAGAGAATGTGTGGGGGACGAAGAGGTGGGAGGTAAGGATACTCATAGGCTAAGGGCAGGAGACAATACAATGGAACAGAGGCCACCTAAGAACGAATATGCAAGGACGAACACAAACGGAAGGACAAGCAGAAAGGAAACACACACCTTAAACAGCTAGTTCCAAAGGGAATCTTTAGACGTCAAAAGAGACCGCATAAGCCGGACCATGACAAGGAAGATATCAAAGGACGAGCGGAAGGGTGAGAGAGAAGCACCTTGTAGAAACAGCTGGTGCCGAAGGGGGGTTTGGACGTCACCAGAGACCATGTAAGACGGGCAAGCAAGATGGCCAAGGAGGAGAGGAAAGGGCGAGAGAGAAGCACCTTGTAGAAACAGCTGGTGCCGAAGGGGGGTTTGGACGTCACCAGAGACCATGTAAGACGGGCAAGCAAGATGGCCAAGGAGGAGAGGAAAGGGCGAGAGAGAAGCACCTTGTAGAAACAGCTGGTGCCGAAGGGGGGTTTGGACGTCACCAGAGACCATGTAAGACGGGCAAGCAAGATGGCCAAGGAGGAGAGGAAAGGGCGAGAGAGAAGCACCTTGTAGAAACAGCTGGTGCCGAAGGGGGGTTTGGACGTCACCAGAGACCATGTAAGACGGGCAAGCAAGATGGCCAAGGAGGAGAGGAAAGGGCGAGAGAGAAGCACCTTGTAGAAACAGCTGGTGCCGAAGGGGGGTTTGGACGTCACCAGAGACCATGTAAGACGGGCAAGCAAGATGGCCAAGGAGGAGAGGAAAGGGCGAGAGAGAAGCACCTTGTAGAAACAGCTGGTGCCGAAGGGGCACTGGCCATTGCCGTAGTTGAAGTAGCGGCAATCAGTGTTCCTGTGGGGGGGTGAGAGGGAAGGAGAGGAGGGAACAGGTGTGCAGGAAGGAAGATGATGAGGAAAGGGGCACTGGCCGCTGCCGTAGTTGAAGTAGCGACAGTCAGTGCTCCGGTGGGGGAGGCAGGGAGGGGGGGGGGGGTGGGGGTGGGGTGAGGAAAGGCATGGAGAAGGGTGGAATGGGCATTTAGTGGCAATCAGTAGTTGAAGTAGCGACAAACAGTGCTTTTGTGGAGGGAAAGAGAGGGAGGGGGTGAGGGAAAAGGTGTGGAGGTGGAAGGAACAGTCTGTGACTGTGGAAAAGGTGTGGAGGAGGTGGAAGGAACAGTCTGTGCGACCTGAGGAAGGAAGAGGATGATGGAAATGGACACTGGCTGTGGCCGTAATCACAGTATTGACAGCAAGTGTTCTTGTTGGAAAACAAACTGTCCTAGACCCTTGTCATAGACACTCCAGACACACACGCGCACGCACACACCCCACCCAACCCCACAGGCACTCAAACTCATGTCTCAACTTCTAACCCCCCTCCTCAACCCCCCCTCTTGTGTCTTTCTGACTTGAGCTTCCTCCTCTTGTGTCCTTCAATGATCGCCTGCTTCTCCTCCTCGTTGAACAAAGACACCAACACTCTACACTGGGAGTCACAACGCTGTGCCCTTGTACAACGAGGAGGAGAAGACATCTCCCAGGTTGACTTTTGAGTCGACTCAAAAGCAAGTTGACTTTTGAGTCGACTCAAAAGTCTCCCAGGTACCCTACGATCCCACCTACCCACACAACCCCTCCCTCCCCTTCCTCCCTTCCCCGGTGTCTCACTTGAGCTTCCTCTTGTACCCTTCCTTCCATGATCGCCTCCTCCTCCTCCTCGCTGAAGGAGAACCACAAGGTGTTTTTGAGAATTCTCAAAAACACCTTCCATGATCGCCTCCTCCTCCTCCTCGCTGAAGGAGAACCACAACACACTTGGAGTGACAAAGCTATATAGGGGACATCCCCCAAGTACCTCACAAACCCTCCCAGTTTCTCACTTGAGCTCCCTCTCTTGACGAACCACACCACACTGGGAGTGAAGAAGGTATACAGGGAAGAGACATTTCAAGCCAAATATAACAACCTACAGACACCCTCCTACCCCGTTCCTCTTTCTCACTTGAGCTTCCGCTTGTAGCCTTCAAATATAGCCTGCTTCTCCTCCTCACTGAAGAACCACACTACACTGGGAGTCACAGAGCTATAGGGAGATATCTCCCAAGTACCTCACAAACCCTCCCACCCGTTACTCACTTGAGCTTTCTCTTGTACCCTTCGATGATAGCCTGCTTCTCTTCCTCACTGAATAACCACACCACACTGGGAGTCACGAAGCTGTATAGAGACATCCCGAGTACAACAACCCATACAAGCCCTCCTACGCCTACCCCCCCCCCCCATTCTTTCTCACTTGAGCTTCCTCTTGTATCCTTCAATAATCGCCTGCTTCTCCTCTTCACTGAAGAATCACACCACACTGGGAGTGACAACCCTATTGAGAAACCTCCCAAGTACAACACCCAATGCAAGACCCGCCTCCCCCTCAACCGTTTCTCACTTTAGCTTTCTCTTGTATCCTTCAATGATCGTCTGCTTCTCCTCCTCGCTGAAGAACCACACCACACTGGGAGTGACAAAGTGTGATCGCACACGGCACAGGGGGCACGCCCTCACTGCGTTGTCCAGGTCTAATGGGACCGACTCGCCACTCTCCTGCTGGGGGGAAGGGTGTGGGAAGAAGAGATGAAGCCGGATCACAAATGGTGATTGCATGCACCCAAGGCACGCGGCACACGGGGCACGCCCTCCCTCACTGCGTTGTCGAGATCCAGAGGGACGGACTCGCCACTGTCCTGCTGGGGGGGAGTGTGGGAAGGGGAGGGAAAGAGTAAGGATGGTGAGAGCATGGAGGGAGAGAGCAGCACACCACACTGGGAGTGACGATGTGTGATCGCACGCGGCACAAGGGGCATGCCCGCACTGCGTTGTCTAAGCTAAGTCCAGAGGGACCCACTCGTTACTGTCCTGCTGAGAGGAGGGGGAGGGGGGAGGTTTAAAGGGAAGCAGAGGAGAATAACAACAGGTGGCACGCGGCACAAGGGGCATGCCCGCCCGCACTGCGTTGTCGAAGTCCAGAGGGACCCACTCGTTACTGTCCTGCTGGGAGGAGGGGGAGGGGGGAGGTTTAAAGGGAAGCAGAGGAGAATAACAACAGGTGGCACGCGGCACACGGGGCATGCCCGCCCGCACTGCGTTGTCTAAGTCCAGAGGGAACCACTCGTTACTGTCCTGCTGGGGAGAGTGTTCGCCAGCCCCCAACCGCCACCTGTCTACACGCAATGCAATCCCTTCTCCTCTCCTTCTCCCCATACCCACACACCTGCCCAGCAGCCCGCCAGTTGCGAATGCACGCAACACAGAACGGGTGGTGGCAGTGGGAGAGAACGCCAAACTTGCGATCGGCAGGGCGAGCCTTCGCCAGCCCCCAACCGCCACCTGTCTACACGCAATGCAATCCCTTCTCCTCTCCTTCTCCCCATACCCACACACCTGCCCAGCAGCTCGCCAGTTGCGAATGCACGCAACACAGAAAGGGTGGTCGCAGTGCGATAGGATACCAAACTTGCGATCGGCAGGCCGGGCCTTCCCTACCTCTCCAGCACACGCTCCAGGCACACACTGCACTCGATCTTCCACCATCACCTGTACACACATCTGCACAATAACCCCTCAAATTCACCCCTGGTTTCCCTCCTTTTCCTCCCCTCTCCCACCCTCTCCGTTCCCCCCTTCCCTCTCCCAAAATCTCTTACCCGCTCCCACACCCACCTGCCCGGCAGCCCGCCAGTTGCGAATGCACGCCACACAGAACGGGTGGTCGCAGTGGGAGAGAATGCCAAACTTGCGATCGGCAGGCCGGGCCTTCCCCAGCACACGCTCCAGGCACACGCTGCACTCGATCTCGGAACTCAGCTTCAGCGCCTGAACTTTTCTCTGCAGCCGCAAACATTCCTTCATGTGCTCCTCCCGCTCCTATTGAGGGTGGTTGGGTGGATGGGTGGGTGGGTGGGTGGAGAAGAGAATGAGACAAGATGAGATGAAGGCCTTCCCCAGCACGCGCTCCAGGCACACGCTGCACTCGATCTCGGAACTCAGCTTCAGCGCCTGAACTTTTCTCTGCAGCCGCAAACATTCCTTCATGTGCTCCTCCCGCTCCTATTGAGGGTGGTTGGGTGGATGGGTGGGTGGGTGGGTGGAGAAGAGAATGAGACAAGATGAGATGAAGGCCTTCCCCAGCACGCGCTCCAGGCACACGCTGCACTCGATCTCGGAACTCAGCTTCAGCGCCTGAACTTTTCTCTGCAGCCGCAAACATTCCTTCATGTGCTCCTCCCGCTCCTATTGAGGGTGGTTGGGTGGATGGGTGGGTGGGTGGGTGGAGAAGAGAATGAGACAAGATGAGATGAAGGCCTTCCCCAGCACGCGCTCCAGGCACACGCTGCACTCGATCTCTGAACTCAATTTAAGTGCCTGCACCTTTCTCTGCAGCCGCAAACACTCTTTCATGTGCTCCTCCCGCTCCTGTGGTGGGTGTGCGTGTGGGTGGTGGGTGGGTGGGGGAACTTGGAGACAGGGGCTCAGACCAAGACAAGGCGTTCAACAGCACACGTTCCAGGCACACGCTGCACTCGATCTCTAAGCTCAGCTTTAAGGCCTGCACTTTTCTTTGCAGCCGCGCACACTCTTTCATGTGTTCCTCCCGCTAATGTGGTGCGCGGGCGGGTGCAAAGGCAGCAGGGGCACAAGGAGAGTAGGTTATATGACCATGCCTTCCCCAGCACGCGCGGGCGGGTGCAAAGGCAGCAGGGGCACAAGGAGAGTAGGTTATACGACTATGCCTTCCCCAGCACGCGCTCCAGGCACACGCTGCACGCAATCTCTGAGCTCAGTTTTAAGGCCTGCACTTTCTTTGCAGCCGCGGACACTCTTTCATGTGTTCCTCCCGCTAATGTGGTACGCGGGCGGGTGCAAAGGCAGCAGGGGCACAAGGAGAGTAGGTTATACGACTATGCCTTCCCCAGCACGCGCTCCAGGCACACGCTGCACGCGATCTCTGAGCTCAGTTTTAAGGCCTGCACTTTCTTTGCAGCCGCGCACACTCTTTCATGTGTTCCTCCCGCTAATGTGGTACGCGGGCGGGTGCAAAGGCAGCAGGGGCACAAGGAGAGTAGGTTATACGACTATGCCTTCCCCAGCACGCGCTCCAGGCACACGCTGCACGCAATCTCTGAGCTCAGTTTTAAGGCCTGCACTTTCTTTGCAGCCGCGGACACTCTTTCATGTGTTCCTCCCGCTAATGTGGTACGCGGGCGGGTGCAAAGGCAGCAGGGGCACAAGGAGAGTAGGTTATACGACTATGCCTTCCCCAGCATGCGCTCCAGGCACACGCTGCACGCGATCTCTGAGCTCAGTTTTAAGGCCTGCACTTTCTTTGCAGCCGCGGACACTCTTTCATGTGTTCCTCCCGTTCCTGTGGGTGAGGGGGTGGGGGGGGGAGTGAAGACAGACTGAGACTAAGACAAACCCCAGCACGCGCTCCAGGCACACGGTGCACTCGATCTCCGAGGTCAATTCTAGCGCCTGTACCACAGAGGTGACTTTTGAGTCGACTCAAAAGACTAAGACAAACCCCATCACGCGCTCCAGGCACACGGTGCACTCGATCTCCGAGGTCAATTCTAGCGCCTGTACCATTTTCTGCAGCCGTGGATTGGCACACAAAGGCACTCACTGTGGGGCGCGCAGGGTGCAGGCAGTAGCGGCCGCAGTGGGGGCAGAGGTGCCCGTGGGTGGGGGAAGGGGCAGGTGGAGGGGGAGGGGAGAGGGGGAGGGGAGGGGAGGGGAGCATCACCACAGAATGCTGGCAGACTGCCACAGAAAGACTAAGACACTCACGGTGGGGCGAGCAGGGTGCAGGCAGTAGCGACCGCAGTGGGGGCAGAGGTCCCCGTGGGGGAAGGGGCAGGAGGGGCCACGAGCACAGCAGGCGCCTGAAGCACCCTCCACCCGAGGCAGCGTGCAGAGCGGCGTGTCAGGTTTGTCAAGCCTGTCAGGTCTGTCAGGCCTCTCGGTCACGGGGTGGAGGCTGTCAGCCAACGAGGAGGCAGCATACCCGCTGCTGCTGCTGCTCCCATCATCGCCACCATTGGCAGAAGCAGCACCGTTAGCACCGTTAGCAGCGTTAGCAGCGTTAGCAGCGTTAGCAGTATTACTAGCACCGTATCCACTGCCATAGCCCCCATATCCACCATAGGCACTATAGGCACTGTAACCACCAGGATCATCGTAGCCAGTGTATTCACCAGAGAACCGCCCTGCAGCAGGCTTGCCTAGTGGGTCCAGCACTTGCGTAGGTACTACAGGGCGCTCTCCCCCAGCAGCAGCTGCCACACGCGCTACAGAGGCTGCAGGAGCTGAAGTTGCGGCGGCAGGAGCTAAAGCTGCCGCTGCTGCTTTGCCTGCTGCAAAAGCAGGAGGTATAGGTGCTGAAGCCGCTGCTGTGGTTTCAGGGCCCGAAGTGGCAGCAGCAGAAGCAGCACCAGCAGCAGCACCAGCAGCAGCAGACGAAGCAGCAGCAGAGGCAGCAGAAGGGCTCTCCTCATCCATAAGAGCAATGAGCCCTATTCTCAGAGCAGCTGCCTGAGCAGAGAAGTCACTCGCCTCCCTCACAAAATCCTCAAACTCCTCCTCACTCGCGAACCCCGCCCCACCTTCCGCCCACACGCCCTGCTGCTGGGGCTCCTCTACCTCACACTCAAAACCCAAGTCTTCCTCCCCAAACGGGCCACTCTCCTGCTGGGGCCCTTGCCACTCTAAACCCGACTTCCCCGCCTCTCCTGCCACCCCTGCTCCCCCCACCCCCGCTATCCCTAAAACTGACCCTCCCATGTGCATTCCCCCACCCCCGGCTCCTGTTATGCCCCCTTGTTCTCTCTCTACAAACGCCAATACAGCTGTATTGCCTCTCTGGTTCGCCCCACCCTCCCCCCCTCCACCGCTACTCATGCGCATCACTGGGAGCCCCTCGTCGAACAGATCGCTCGCAGATCGCGGCAGCCAATCCGGACCGTCCAACGAGCTCCCCGACGCATCTCGTTCGAAAATCGCCTCGGGGGAGAGAGCAGGGGGATATTGGGGCATGGGGGCTGCAGCGGAGGAGGGATGGGCGTAGCTGTACCCGGAAACGAGTCCGTTTGTAGCGGGTATAGGCCCTGTAACGGGTATAGAGGCTTGTGCGCGTTCTGCGTAGTACTGAGCTGGGGTGTAGAGGCCGGAACGGTTACGGGTGATGGTGGTGGTGGTAACCGCCACTGTAGCTGCTGCAGCAGCAGAACCAGAACCAGCAACAGCAACAGAACCAGGAGCAGCAGAAGACGCAGCAGAACGAGCAGCAGCAGGGGGGTGGAAAGCAGGTGCGGTGGGGGTTAACCTAGAAGATGGGAGAGACGAAAAGGCTGGATTCATGACTGCTGACGTGGAGGATCCTGCTGATTGGCTGGACGGAACGAAGGGGGCGGCGGCAACGGACGGGAGAAAGGGAGAAGCGGAGACAGAGAGTGGGGTAGAGGAGGAGGAGGGAGTGGCAGAGACAGAAAGACGGGTTGTGGACGGGGGAGTGGCGGAGGCAGAGGAAAGGGAGGGGGCAGTGAAAGGAGAGGAGGCGGAGGAAGAGGAAGCGGGGCGAACAGGAACGGGTGAGTGCTGAAGAGGTGTTGTAGTGGTGGGAGGAGGTGCGGATGGGTATGGGGATCCTCTGGCGGAGTATGGGGAAGCACTGGCGGGGTACTGAGGTCTTGCGGGTGCATTTGAAACAGCATTAGAGCTGCCAGCAGGAGCAGAAGAGGCAGAGGTTTGGGGCTGAAGGGAAGGCCAGGAGGACGAGGAGAGGGCATCAGCAGCAGGACTGGAAGCTGCTCTAGCAGTGCCTGTCACAGCGTTGCTAGTGAAGGCTGCACTCTTGCTTGTGGCAGTTACACCGTTACCAGTGACCCTACTAGCCCCAGCACTGACGCTGCTGTCGCCGCCGCTGCTGCCACTGGCATTGCTGCTACTGCCCGTGAGTCTGCTTCTCCCGTTACTGCTGCTCGCATTGCTCCCACTGCTGCTGCTGACGCCCCTGCTGATGCTGCTACTGCTACTAGTGGTAGCGGTGGAAGCAGCAGGCGGGGCAGCAGTGGGACGTGAGGGGGAAGCAGAGGGAAGTGCTGACGCACCAGCAGCGCGGGCAGGGGAAACAGAGGGGAGACTGGGTGCAAAAGTTGGTTGTGTGGGTGGGACAGTGGCGGGTGGTGGAGCGGGGGCGGCAGAGGAGGAGGGTTTCGGCTTGACATGGTCGTAGCGGCAGCGGTCCCCGTAGGAGCAGACGCCACGCTGGTAGAACACACACGCCTTGGGGGGGGGGGGGGGGGGGGGGGGGGGGGGGGGTGGAGAGAGAGGGGGGAGGAGGGGGGAATAACCTTAGGTAGTGCAGTCGCTGTAGGAGCAGACTCCACGCTGGTAGAACACACACGCCTGAAGGAGGGGAAGGGGCGGGGAGATGCAAGGAAGGGGGGGGGGAGGAGGGGGGAAGAACCTTAGGTAGTGCAGTCGCTGTAGGAGCAGACTCCGCGCCGGTAGAACTCACACGCCTGAAGGAGGGGAAGGGGCGGGGAGATGCAAGGAAGGGGGGGGGGAGGAGGGGGGAAGAACCTTAGGTAGTGCAGTCGCTGTAGGAGCAGACTCCGCGCCGGTAGAACTCACACGCCTGAAGGAGGGGAAGGGGCGGGGAGATGCAAGGAAGGGGGGGGGGAGGAGGGGGGAAGAACCTTAGGTAGTGCAGTCGCTGTAGGAGCAGACTCCGCGCCGGTAGAACTCACACGCCTCAAAGGGGGGGGGGGGAGAGGGGAAGCACGCGAAAGGAGGTGAACCGTGAAAGAGGGGGTCGCGGACGGAGGAGGAGAGGGACATGGAGAGGAACAGCTCTGTGTGTGTGTGTATGGGGAGGGGGGGAGGGGATGTGTGGTTGCGTGTGTGTGGTGTAAGGTGTGTTGGTGTGTGGGTGTGCGGATGTGAGGGAGTATGGGAGCAAGAGAGCGGATGCTGGAGTGATATGAGAAGGGTGTGGGAGCGGCAGGTATTTAAGCATGAAGTGCGGTTGTTGCAGCATTGATGATCATATGGCGCGAGCACGATCAATCAAACACAGAACACACAGTAAAAGGAGGTGACAGAATAGGGTGTGGCAAGGAGGTGACAGGGACAGGGCGTAACAAGGAGGTGACAGAACAGGGGTTGACAGAAACGGGGGATGACAGGATAGAGGATGACGGAACAGGGGCCCCACCATGTTAGGTTTGTCCTTCCAATTGTGGGAGAAGGGACAACTGTCCCCTCTACTGCACGCTCCATTAACGAAGTACTTGCACAGAACTCTGGGGAGAAAACATGTCAAAAGGTAAAAAGGGATCAAAATTCATAAACGAAAGCCCAAGCGATGCCATACGCAGCGTATGAAACGAAACGAAGTACATTCGAAAAAAAAAAAAAAAAAAAAAAAACTCTCGAAATATGACCGGACTTGAAACGGAGCCACCAAGACACGAGATGGCGATAAGATGACCATTGCTGTAATGCGTTCAAGGTATTACAACCAGGTTCAGCTAGATAGCAACTATGGAAGAACGGGAAGCGCCAGCACCACTGCGTCGCTCATACTAATGAAAGCAAGAGATGTACTGCGTTAAGCTAACTGTCACTGGCTGACCTAAATCGCTCGCGTTATGGCTTTGGGGTCGGAACAGGAAGCCTCAGAATTCGGGAAAAAAAATGCGAAGAAAAATCGAAGTGCTTCTCCACTGATATCGTTCTAACGCGACGTGGAGCCACGTGCAGCCACGCGTGTTAACGAAAACGACCTCACGAAGCATTATACGTAGAGTCTCACGCTAAGCAGACGCACCCACCTATTCGTCATCGGTTCGAGAATAACCCGATGGGTCAAGAAACGGCTGCTTCAAGCTGCCAACGGTTGCGTCTAAGCATGGAAAGGGAATCTAAAGTTGACTGCTTAAGATAATAAGGACGCACACCAGCTAATGTAAACGCGGGATCCGAAAAGCTGATTACCGTAAACGAGAGAGGAAAGCGTCGAGAGCATATATCGAGCAGAGGGAAGAAAGCGAACAGATTGGGCTTGGCTTGAGATTTGAGGTTCAAAAGCGAATAGAAGTTGGTTACGAAATCCCAAGGCCACGGCTTGAGCAGGTAGGCTTGGCCAAGATGCAAGGCGTGGAGAACTGTAGTGGTGACAGGGTGCAGGCAGATGGAGAGGTAAACGTACCCGATATTGAGAGATCTTTTGCTGGTCTTGTTTCGTTTCAGGGTATCACTGTAACTGCCGAGATTGTCAAGTCCAAAATAAATGTATCCAAACGTAGCCTAGACTAGGAATTAGGACCCATTTGCATTATGCTTTGATACAATCTGAACCGTCTTATAGGATCGTCTCAGGTTGATCGCACGGAGTGTAGCAGCGGAAGATTGCTTGGTAATGTCGGGTACGGACTCTGTCAGTAGAAGGAGATTTAGATATCGACAGAAGTGAATAACACAATGCGGTACTGTCAAAGTATATGCCTGTGTCATAATAAAATGTAGGCTTTTAGTGGGGTAGCCAATGTAGGGTATAGGTTTTTGTTACTTGTACCCAACCTTCTCGATAGTGCACACATCCTTTTCTCTCGACATGGTATTAAGAGCAACATAGGTCCTTAGGACCGTTTTAGGACTGTTTTTCAGGGCCCAACAACCGTTTTCCGCCGGTTACCGAGTTACCCCGCCCCTTGCCTACACTGCCCTGCGTCGCGCAGCCCTCGCGCTCGCCTCTGCCGGCCCTCGTACAGCCCGCTAGCAGTCCGCCTGCTGCCTCGTCAGCCCCGCGCGTAGCTCGCTAGCTGCCTTGTCAGGCCCGCGCGCTGCCTCCGCAGCCCTCGCGCTGCTTTCTACGGCCGCCGACGCGGCCCCCCCCTGGCCTACGCGCTGCCCCCCCTCGCCCGTCGCGACGCCAGTGGGACCCGCGCGCTGCCCTGCACCAGCGACGCCGCCCCTGGAGAAGCCGCCCCTGGCCCCTGCAGCAGCCGCCCCTGGCCCCTGGAGCAGCCGCCCCTGCAGCAGCCGCCCCTGGCCCCTGGGGCAGTCGCCACTGCAGCAGCCGCCCCTGGCCCCTGGGACAGCCGCCCCTGCAGCAGCCGCCCCTGGCCCCTGGAGCAGCCGCCCCTGGCCCCTGGAGCAGCCGCCCCTGCAGCAGCCGCCCCTGGCCCCTGGGGCAGCCGCCACTGCAGCAGCCGCCCCTGGCCCCTGGGGCAGCCGCCCCTGCAGCAGCCGCCCCTGGCCCCTGGAGCAGCCGCCCCTGCAGCAGCCGCCCCTGGCCCCTGGAGCAGCCGCCCCTGCAGCAGCCGCCCCTGGCCCCTGGGGCAGCCGCCACTGCAGCAGCCGCCCCTGGCCCCTGGGGCAGCCGCCCCTGCAGCAGCCGCCCCTGGCCCCTGGAGCAGCCGCCCCTGCAGCAGCCGCCCCTGGCCCCTGGAGCAGCCGCCCCTGGCCCCTGGGGCAGCCGCCACTGCAGCAGCCGCCCCTGGCCCTACTCTGCAGCCACTGTTGCCGACCCTCGCCCGGCGAGCGCCTACCCTTCCCACCACTGGTGAGCACCTGCCTTGTTCGCGCGCTGCCGCGCCATTTGCCTGCCTGCCTGCCTGCCTGCTTGCCTGCCTGCCACGCCTGCCTGCCTGCCTGCCTGCCGCGCCGGCCCTGCCTGCGCTGCCACTGCTGCTACTGCTGCTCCTTCTGTTACTACTGCTAGGCTCTTACTACTGCTGCTACTGCTACTATTGCTACTGTTGCTACTGGCGGAGGCCAGATGCAGCTCCAGCGACGTCCGCGCGAGTCTCTCACGCCTCAGCAGCTTCGTGAGTGGTACGCTAGTTGGGGTTGTGGCGGTAGCCGTCGTGGCTGTCGCCCTGGAGCTGGTCGGTCGGGAGCGTCTGGCAGTGGCCAGCTGCAGCTGCAGCGGCGTCCGCGCGAGACACTTACGTCCCGGCAGCTTCACGAGTGGTACGCTCAGAGTCGAGGGTCTCGGAGTACCGTTCGCTGCCCGTACGTCCTTCACACAGGTGATCGGGCTGGTCAGGCCTGCGGGACACTTGGTCACACCCAGTCCCACTACTTCGCCCGTCTGAGCGACGCCTGGCGTACCGAGTTTGGCGACGAGGCTGAGCTCCCCACCTGGCTGGAGCTGCTTGGGCAGAGGGTAGATATCTTTGCTCTTGACTATGATGCTATTCTCACTGCCATGTATGCATTGCCTACTAGTGCTGACCGTGCCTGTTCCCTGTGCGTACCGCCTGACCCAGGTATAGAGCCTGCTGCTCTAGGTGCTGGTGAGGGTGCTGCTCTAGGTGCTAGTGCGTCTCCTGCTCTAGGTACTGGTGAGGCTACTGCTCCAGGTGCTGGTGAGTCTGCTCACTCTGGTACTGCGCCTGCTGAGGCCGTGTACACCTTCATACTTGACTCAGGTGCTTCCCGCTCCTTCTTTCGCGACAGCACCACCCTCACGCCGCTCTGTCGGCCGGTTGCAGTCTCCCTGGCAGACCCCTCTGGGGGTCCAGTCCTTGCGCACTCCTCCACGGTCCTGCCGTGTCCGGTGGTCCCGTCTGGCTCCCTGTCAGGTCTTCACCTCCCCTCGTTCTCTACGAACTTGGTGAGTGGAGCTGACCTACAGGATGTGTGGGTTGACCAGTTCACCCCTGGAGGTCAGCGTGTGACCCACTGTACGTGCTCCCGGACTGGTCGGCACCTGGCCACGTTCACCCGAGCGCCTGGCTCGAGTCTGTACACACTGACTACTGTGTCCCCTCAGGTTGCTGCATCTGCGTCTGCGTTTGCGTCAGGTCAGCTAGCGGCCCCCTGCTTGTGTCGCGCTTTGTCGCACCAGACCGTCCTTTGGCACCACCGCCTTGGTCACCCCTCGGTGCAGCGCCTTCGTAGCATGCACCGCCGTTTCCTTGTCTCTGGACTTCCAGAGACTCTGCCTCCTCTACCACCCTCGCCTGCTCCTCCCTGTCTTCCCTGTGTCGAGGGGCGGCAGCGCGCCGCTCCTCACTCCTCCTCGTTCCCTCCCACAGAGGCTCCCCTGCAGACTCTCCACCTGGACGTGTGGGGCCCAGCCCGCGTCCGTGGACAGGGCCACGAGCGGTACTTCCTGCTGGTCGTCGACGACTACACGCGTTACACCACGGTCTTCCCCTTGCGCAGCAAGGGGGAGGTCCCTGATGTTTTGATCCCCTGGATCCGCGCTGTTCGTCTCCAGCTCCGCGAGCGGTTCCAGTCGGACTTTCCAGTCCTGCGTCTGCACTCCGACAGAGGTGGTGAGTTCTCCTCAGACCTCTTGGCAGCCTACTGTACGGAGCACGGCATCCGCCAGACGTTCACGCTTCCGGCCTCTCCGCAGCAGAATGGGGTTGCTGAGCGCCGCATTGGCTTAGTCATGGAGGTCGCTCGTACCTCCATGATCCATGCGGCTGCCCCCCTTTTCCTGTGGCCGTTTGCGGTCCGGTACGCCGCGCATCAGCTCAACCTCTGGCCCCGTGTCTCCTTGCCGGAGACCTCGCCCACACTGCTGTGGACGGGGAAGGTTGGCGATGCGTCGAGTTTCCGGGTCTGGGGTGCTCGTGCCTTTGTCCGCGATACCACCGCGGACAAGCTCTCCGCCCGCGCTGTTCCCTGTGTCTTCCTTGGCTTTGTCCTTGACGCGCCTGGTTGGCAGTTTTACCACCCCACCTCGCGCCGTGTCTTCCCCTCTCAGGACGTCACGTTCGACGAGTCGGTTCCCTTTTACCGTCTCTTCCCCTACCGCACTGCCCCTCTCCCCCCCCCGCCGCTCTTCCTCGCTCCAGGTGCTCCCCAGGTAGACCCCC